CCGAACCGAGGGTGGTGGATGTGTGTCGTCCTGCAGGGTCAGGTCCAGCGTGGACTTCTCTCTCTCTCCCCTGCCATTCACCACCCTCCACGTCTCTGAGCATCTACCTCTGCCTCTACTGGTCCTCAGACCTGGAACCTTCCATTCCCCACCCTGCTTCACACCACCTGATGGATCTCCACTCTGAGCTCCCAGCCTCAGTCCCAGACCAGAGCTTCAGACCCCAAAACACTTGCTCAGCCCCACGATGACCACTTCTTAAAATACTGAAGTCAACTTTATTTACAAAACACTATTCTGGCCAGGTGCGGTGGCACATGCCTATAATCCCAACACCTGGGGAGGCCGAGGTGGGAGGATCCCCTGAGGTCAGGAGTTCGAATCCAGCCTGGCCAACATGATTAAACCCCATCTCTACTAAACATACAAAAACTAGCCGGGCATGGTGGCAGGCACCTGTAATCCCAGCTACTCAGGAGGCTGAGGCAGGGGAATCACTTGAACCTGGGAAACGGAGGTAGCAGTGAGCCAAGATCATGCCACTGTACTCCGGCCTGGGCAACAAAGTAAGACTTCGTTTCAAAAAACATAAAACAAAACAAAACAAAAAAACCACTATTGTTGGTGTCAAAATTCTACAAAGCTTCCATTTGGCCAAGTATATAGTCACTCAAGCAGGGAGAGATCATTCAAAATTTTGTTTGACAGAAATTTGGTTTCTGGCTGGTTTCTAGATGTTGGTCATAGGGGAAGTGGCACCTGGGAGAGAAAAATTGAGAAACGCGTTGGTGGGGAGTGACATCTGGTGACACCTCAAGAATGCAGGAGAGCCCTCGGCCTCAGAAGTCCTGGAGGGGTCCATGCCACGCCCTGGAGGAGCAGGAGGGAAGGGGGTTCCTGGTCCTGAACTGTCCCCCTGGGCCCACAGGAAACTCAGGTGCATGAACTGCAGTTAGGGGACGATGGAACAAAGCTGATGCCAAGGTGAGGCCCAGGAAGGGGAGAGGCCTCTGTTCTGCCAAGAACAGTCCTCAGTGAGCGGCCATCTGAGGGAGTTCTCTGCTGGTTGTCCCAATTGAAAAAGCCACTGGAGGCCAGGTGCGGTGGCTCACACCTGTAACCCCAGCACTTTGGGAGGCCGAGGCAGGTGGATCGCGAGGTCAGGAGTTCAAGACCAGCCTGACCAACATGGTGAAACCCCACATCTACTAAAAATACAAAAATTAGCCGGGCATGGTGGCAGGTGCCTGTAATCCCAGCTACTCAGGAGGCTGAGGCAGAGAATTGCTTGAACCCGGGAAGTGAAGGTTGCAGTGAGCTGAGATCACACCACTGCACTCCAGCCGGGGCAACAGCGAGAGTCCGTCTAAAAAAAAAAAAAAAACACACAAACAAGAAAAGAAAAAGAAAAAAGAAAGAAAAAGCTACTGGCAATGGGAAGTTTTGCTCTAATTTTCTCTGTCTGTATCCATCAATGCATCTACAATGGAATGTTTAGATTTTTCTTGCTTTGGCGCCTGGACTATAAACTATTTCACCAGAGAGGAGAGTGACTTCCACTCAGCTCTTTTCCAGGCACCTCCACCCTTGTTGTTCCTGATGACTGCTGGTTAAGGCCGGCATCTTTTCAGGATGGCTGAGGCCCTCAAATGGTCTCTTGATATGGTTAAATTTCTCAAGAAGCTGGGGGTATTTTTGTTTGTTGAGATGGAGTTTTGCTCTTGTTACCCAGGCCGGAGGGCAATAATATAATCTTCGCTCACTGCAACCTCCGCATCCTGGGTTCAAGGCATTCTCCTGTCTCAGCCTCCCCAGCAGCTGGGATTACAGGTGCCCACCATCACGCCCAGCTATGTTGTGTATTTTTAGTACAGACAGGGTTTCACCATATTGGTCAGGCTGGTCTCGAACTCCTGACCTCAGGTGATCCACCCGACTCATCCTCCCAAAGTGCTGGGATTACAGGCATGAGCCACTGCGCCCAGAGAAGCTGGGTTGTAAATAAGTGAAAACTCTGCTCCAACACAAGAGAACTATCTAAAAGCTGTGCCATCATCTCCCAAGGAAGGCTGCAGGACCCTGGCTCAAGTGTGGACTCTGAAAACTTCATACTCTTCCCGGGAGGAGCACACAACCCCAGCACAGCCCACAGCACCCTAATGACACGGAAGGACCCACAGTACACTGCACTGAAATCCCACAACATCCCTCCAAGGCTGAACCCTGGCAGGTCCTCCTGTTCCAATTAGTTTTCTTTACGCTGGGAGAAGGATGAATAATCTGGAAGGTTCCCAGCTCCCGGGGTACCCACCAGGAGAGCAGGTGGAGGGAGGCACGTTGAAGAAGGCGGCCACGTTCTGGCTGCAGTGGCTCAAGCCTGTAATCCTAGCACTTTGGGAGGCCGATGCGGGTGGACTGCCTGAGCTCAGGAGTTCGAGACAAGGCAACACAATGAAACCTCATCTCTACTAAAATACAACACAATTAGCTGGGCATGGCGGCATGTGCCTGTAATCCCAGCTACTCAGGAGGCTGAGGCAGGAGAATGGCTTCAACCCAGGAGGCAGAGGTTGCAGTGAGCCAAGATCACGCCACTGCATTCCAGCCTGGAAAAAGAAGAAGAAGAAGAAGAAGGCCAAGTTACTTCCCAGGGCTCCTCCTCCTTTTTTTTTTTCAGACAGAGTTTTGCTCTTGTTATCCAGGCTGGAGTGCAATGGTGCGATATCGGCTCACTGCAACCCCCATCTTGTGATTCTCCTGTTTCAGTCTCCCAAGTAGCTGGGATTACAGGTGTATGCCTCCATGCCCAGCTAATTTTTGTATTTTTAGTAAAGATGAGGCTTCACCATGTTGGCCAGGCTGGTCTTGAACTCCTGACCTCAGGGGATCCACCCACCTTGGGCTTCCAAAGTGCTGGAATTACAGGCATGAGCCATGGCCTGTAGGTGGCCTGGCCGTCTCTTCTCTTAAACTCTTCCTTTAAACCCCTGGAAACGTCATCCCATGTAGCAACCCCCACCACCCCCAGTTTTTGGTTTCAGCTAGGCCACCAGCTGGACATTTTTAAAAACATCTCTCAGATCCATGCCCTCCTCTGCATCCCACTGCCACGACATTAACTCAAACCTCTATGCTTGCTCTTACTGGCCTCCCTGACTCCAATAGCTGCCGTCATCATTCTCCACCCCCAAAGAGAGACTTCTAAATTATACATCTGATTACATCCGTCCTGTTTAATGTGCCCTAGAGCCACCATGACCAAGTGCAAACTCCTCTGCTGACCCTCCCAGGCTTTGACAATGTGATTTCTGCTATGTGGCCATCTTGCAATTAAAGCTTTTAAAAAATGCTTAGTGATAAGCTGTCTATAACAGATGCACTTTCTGTGCAGACTGAGACAGATTGAACAGTAAAAGGATGGAAGAGGCACACGTTACCAACACCAGTGATGAGAAAGCTGGTATAGCTGTCGTGGCTATATTAGTATCAGAAAAATCAGACTTTAACACAAACAGTATCACCAGACATAAAGAAGGCCATTTAATAATGGTAAATGGTCAAAGAACCAGCATGAACCGTCTATAATCCTAGGGCACTTTAGTGGAGGCTGAGGCAGAGAGGCAGAACCGAGGCGGACTGCAGTGAGCTGGATCCACTGCACTCCAGCCTAGGCGACAGGGACTGTCTCAAAAAAAAAAAAAGGTAAAACCATAATCCTAGCACTAGGGGCCAGACAGCCGATTACCAGTGGACATACAAAATCCTGTCTCTACAAAAAACAAGAAAATTAGCCAGGCATGGTGGCTTGTGCCTGTAGTCCCAGCTACTCGGGAAGCTGAGGTGGGAGGACTGCCTGAGCCCAGGGAGATAGAGGCTGTATTGAGCCAAGATAGTGCCACTGCACAGCCTGGGCAACAAAGGGAGACCTTGTCTCATAAAAAGGTCAATACATCAAGAAGACATAACAATCCTAAGTATATATGCTCCTAGTAACAAAGCATCGGCCGGGCATGTGGCTCACATCTGTAATCCCAGCACTTTGGGAGGCCAAGGTAGGGGGAATCACCTGAGGTCAGGAGTTTGAGATCAGCCTGACCAACATGGCAAAAGCCCGTCTCTACTAAAAATACAAAAATTAGCTGAGCGTGGTGGTGGGTGCTTGTAATCCCAGCTACTCGGGAGGCTGAGGCAGGAGAATCTCTTGAACCAGAGTGGCAGAGGTTGCAGTGAGCTGGGATCGCACCACTGTACTCCAGCCTGGGCAACAGAGCAAAACCCTGTCTCAAAAAAACAAAACAAAACAAAGCAATGCAAGATGTTTTCCTCCAACCAACTGCTGGGCATAGAGTAGTTTGTTGTCTACATTTTTGCAGATGTTTGTTGCTTTGGATGAGACATAACAGTGCCCTTGATTAATGAAACAATTCATTAAATTTCAGCCTCTGCTCTTTAAACACTAGCAGGACACTGCCCGTTGGCTTCTCAGAGCACCTGGGCAATGCTTTGACAAGTGTACAATTTATTTCTCAAAACACATTAGCAGGCCCTCCTTTTCCAATTAGTTTTACTTCTCTCTTTTTTTTTTTCGAGACAGGGTCTCACTCTGTCACCCAGGCTGGAGTGCAGTGGTGTGATCTTGGCTCACTGCAACCTCCACCTCCCGGGCTGAAGCAATCTTCCCACCTCAGCCCCACAAGTAGCTGGGAATACAGGCATGCAACACCATGCCCGGCTGATTTTTGTTTTGTTTTGTTTTAAGAGATGGGGTCTCACTACGTTGACCAGGCTGGTCTCAAATTCCTGGGCTGAAGCAATCTGCTCACCTTGGCCTCCCAAAGTGCTAGGATTAAAGGTAGGAGCCACTGCACCTGGCTCCAGTTAGTTTTCAATCTTGCCCAGCTGCAGTGAGGCAGCCCCTGCCAAGCCCACTTTGTCCCAAAGTTGCCGAGAGGAAGGCCGCCCTGCCCACGGCCCTGTGGACCGCCCAGCTGGGGCCCTACCTGCCACCTGCAGAATGCCATGTCTGGCCACGTCGTAGAACGGGTGACTCGTGCTCAGCGCGGGGTCCTGGCCAGCCATGGGCACCACCGAGGGCCTCCTCCTCACTGCACCCAGCACAGCAGCCGCCGCCTCGTCTCTCTGCAGCTCTGCGGCAGACAATGAAGATGAAAGGAAGTCAGTGCGTTCTTCAGTAAGGAGGGGAGTGAGGGAGCCTCCTGATGCCTTTCATAAGACAGTTACCCACCTCTGCTGCACACACACTACGCACGCTACCTCAGCTGAGCACCCAGTATGCGCCCTACCTCAGCTGAGCACCCACCATGTGCCCTACCTCAGCCATATACTCACTAAGCATTCTCTCTCAGCCGTGCACCCACTGTATACCCTACCTCAGTTGTGTACCCACTATGTGCCCATCTAGTGTCCAGCACCATGGAGGGAGAAAAATAAGATTTAAGGGTCAGATACTGTCCACATTGACAGGGGTGCAACTAAGGCTCAGAGAGGGAGGTGCGAAGGCTGAGTATAATCGCAGGGGGTGCTTACAAGAATGAGGCATGAAGGGCTGAGTCAAGGAAGCAGTCATGACCGTAGGTGGAGGCAGAGAGAATGATGGGGAGAGGCTCTGCGGGGCTGGGCTGGAGGCGGGAGAGCCCAGGAAAGTGGGCGGGCGGCAAAGGGCAGGAAACAAAGCCTCCCTGGAGCCTCCAGAAGCACGCCCGGCCGCCAACGCGTTGACCTCAGCCCAGGAGACACCTTTCAGACAGGCGGGGAAGCTAAGGTCTCTGCCATTTGTGCCGCTGACGGGGTGGGGACTTGCTGCGGCAGCCACTGGAAGCTTGCACAGCCCTGGCCCCAGGGATGCCCGTTCTAGTGGGGAAGGGTGGAGCAGAGGCATGAGCAGGGGAAGGAAAGAGAGCTAGGGGAGGTGAGTGCAGGAGGCGGGCCTCCAGGGACCTTCACCCCAAGTGTGACAGAGCTGCTTGGCGTCCTGAGTCGGGGGTGGTCTGCCCTGCCTGACGGGGCTTCTGGGATCCCTCTGGCTGCAGGGAACGGGGAGCGGGAGGCTGGTGGGGGCCGAGCTCTTCAATGACAAGCCCTGGGTGGGGGTCCTGGCTGGTGCTGGTCCTGAGTGGCAGTGAAATGAACAGCCCGCCTGCCTGTGTGTGGACAGCTCAGGGATGGACCGGTGAAGGGGCTGGGAGGGGCACTCAGGGAGTTGCAAAGCCCTGCAGGCAGGGGAGGGCCTCCAAGGTCAGCGTGGCTGGGGTAGAGCCGGGTCAGACCATGGAACCTTGAACCTAGAGAGGACTTGTGCTTCATGCAAGGTCAGGAGTTCAATACCAGCCTGGCCAACGTGGTGAAACCTCCTGGGCCCTGAGAAGATTAAGCAGAAAGATGGAGTGGGGCAGCCTGGCCCAGAGGGAGGGAGGGGAACATGTGTATCAGGCTGGAGCTGGGCTGGCCCAGGACCACTGCAGGCACCTGTCTGGAAACTCCCGTGGCCCTACATATCAGCCACGTGGACACCCCCCATCACTACACGGTGGACACCTCCTGATGTTTCAGTGCTAAAGTGTGCAGTGGAAAACAGTGTGGCAGTTCCCCAGAAAGCCAAATCTAGGACCCAGCAGTTCCACTCCCAGGGAGAAGCCCAGGAAAGCTGGAGACAGGGACTGAGCAAATACAAGCACACACATGCTCAGAGCAGCACCGCTCACAACAGCCAAAGGGTGGCAACGGCCCAAATGTCCACCAGTGGATGGATGCATGAGCCACGTGCGGTCCAGCCATATGGTGGAATATCACTCAGCCGTAACAGGATGAAGTTCTGGCCTATGACCCAACACGGAGGAATCTGAAACCGCTCTGTTCAGTGAAAGGCAGGCAGGCACTAAAAAGCACACACAGTAGGATTCCATTTACATGAAGTGTCCCGAATAGGCAAATGAATGGAGACAGACAGCAGATGGGTGGATGCCAGGAATCGTGGGAGGGAGGGCAGAGGAGTGTCTGCTTAATGGGAGTTTCCCACTGGGGTGCTGAAAATGTTCTGGAACTAACTAGCAGCGGTGGGTACACAGCACTGTGAGTGGACTCAACACCCCTGAATTGTGTGCTTTAAAGTGGTTCTTTTTTATTTTTAGTTACTTTTTCTCTTTTGAGATAGAGTCTCGCTCTGTCCCCCAGGCTGGAGTACAGTGGCATGATCTCGGCTCACTGCAACCTCTGCCTCTTGGGTTCAAGCCATTCTCCTGTCTCAGCCTCCCAAGTAGCTGGGACTACAAGCATACAGGTGCATGCCACCACGCCCAGCTAATTTTTTTGTATTTTTAGTAGAGATGGGCTTCACTACGTTGGCCAGGCTGGTCTCGAACTCCTGACCTCAAGTGAACTGCCCGCCTCGGCCTCCCAAAGTGCTAGGATTTTAGGTGTGAGTCACCACACCTGGCCCTAAAGTGGTTAATTTAATGTTACGTGAATTTCACTGCAATTAAAAAACAAAGGGCCACCCGTGGTGGTGCATGTCTGTAATCCCAGCTACTCAGGAGGCTGAGGTGGGAGGTTCAACTGAGCCCAGGAGGTCAGGGCTGCAGTGAGCCAATTTCACGTTACTGCACTCCAGCCTGGGCAACACAGCAAGATCCTGTCTCTAAAAATAAAATTTAAATAAATAAAATAGGCCAGGTGTGGTGGCTCACGCCTGTAATCCCAGCACTTTGGAAGGCTGAGGCGGGCAGATCACCTGAGGTCAGGAGTTCAAGACCAGCCTGGCTAACATGGGGAATCCCTGTTTCTACTAAAAATACAAAAAATTAGCTGGGTGTGGTGGCGGGCGCCTGTAATCTCAGCTACTCAGGAGGCTGAGACAGGAGAATCGCTTGAACCTGGGAGGCAGAAGTTGCAGTGAGCTGAGATCGCGCCATTGCACTTCGGCTTGGGCAACAAGAGTGAAACTGCATCTCAAAAATAAATAGACTGGGCACGGTGGCTCATGCCTGTAATCCCAGCATTTTGGGAGGCTGAGGCAGGAAGATTGCTTGAGTCCAGGAGTTTTGAGACCAGCCTGGGCAACGTAGTGAAACACTGTATCTACAAAAAAAAATACAAAAATTAGCCGGGTGTGGTGGCATGCACCTGTAATCCCAGCTACTTGGGAGGCTGAGGTGGGAGGATTACCTGAGCCCGGGAAATGGAGGCTGCAGTGATCACGCCACTGCGCTCCAGCCTGGGTGACAGAGTGAAACTGTCTCAAAAATAAAAAAACCAAAACCACAAAAGACATGTGCTCTGAGCAGCACTATTAAAAGCTCCATGGCCAGGTGCAGTGGCTCACGCCTGTAATCCCAGCACTTTGGGAGGCAGAGGCCAGTGGATCACAAGGCCAGGAGTTCGAGACCAGCTTGGCCAACATGGTGAAACCCCATCTCTACTAAAAATACAAAAATTAGCCAGGCATGGTGGCTCATGGCTCACACCTGTAATCCCAGCTACTCGGGAGACTGAGGCAGAAGAATTGCTTGAACCCGGTAGGCAGAGGTTGCAGTGAGCCGAGATCACCCCACTGCACTCCAGCCTGGGTGACGGAGCAAGAATCCATCTCAAAAAAAAAAAAAAGAAAAAAAAAAAATACCCAAACTGGAAACCGCCCACCTAAATCTCCACAGCAGACAAAGGAGATGTAAATGGCGGACGTCCTACAGCGGGATGTTATGTGCCATGTGAACAGGCCACTACAGACACGCATACCGACGTGAGTGGTCTTGCAATATGTTGAACAAAAAGTCAGACACCGACCAGGTGTGGTGGCTCATGCCTGTCATTCCAGCACTTTGGGAGGCTGAGGCAGGTGAATCACCTGAGATCAGGAGTTCGAGACTAGCCTGACCAACATGGAAACTTCATCTCTAATAAAAATACAAAACTAGCCAGGCGTGGATGGCAGGCACCCGTAATCCCAGCTACTAGGGAGGCTAAGGCAGGAGAATCGCTTGAACCCGAGAGGCGGAGGTTGCAGTGAGCCGAGATCATGCCACTGCACTCCAGCCTGGGCGACAGAGTGACTGTCATAAAAGAAAAAAAAAAAAAAAAAGAGACCAAAAAGTCACTGTGTAATTCCACTTTCTGCCTTTCATTACGTATCTATTCCAATATTCCTGATCTATTTGTGGTGTGTTTTGCACACCGTCTTTTGAACTAATGGTAGCCGCTGCCTGGTTCACTCATTATGGGTGAATGAAAATCATTAACATGTTGGTTTTATTATCTGTGTGAGAGTTCTGATTTTCCATTTCCTGGAAGTTACCTTTTAACATGGGGTTAGAGAGAGAGGAGGGCTGACCATTAGAATTGAGGGCAGAAATCAGTCAAGGTGAGGCCATTATTTCTGCTGCTTTGCCATCATCCCCAGGGCACAGAAAATTGATTTTAGCCTGACCATGTGAAGAAGTTACAGAAGGAAGAATGGCCATAATCAAAAAATCATAAAATAAGGTGTTGGCATGGCTGTGGTGAACAGGAAACACTTCTACACTGCTGGTGGGAGTGTAAACTAACACAACCACTATGGAAAACAGTGTGGAGATTCCCTAAAGAACTAAAAGTAGAACTACCATTTGATCCAGCAATCCCACTACTGGGTATCTACCCAGAGGAAAATATGTCATTATACAAAAAAGATCCTTGCACACGCATGTTTATAGTGGCACAATTCGCAAACGCAAAAATGAGGAACCAGCCCAAATGCCCATCAATCAACGAGAGGATAAAGAAATTGTGACATATACATACGATGGAATACTACTCAGCCATAAAAAGGAATGAATGAATGGCGTTCATAGCAACTTGGATGAGACTGGAGACTATTATTCTAAGTGAAGTAACTCAGGAATGGAAAACCAAACATCGTTATGTTCTCATAAGTGGGAGCTAAGTTATGAGGATGCAAAGGCATAAGAAAAACACAGTGGACTTTGGGGAGTTGGGGGAAAGGGTAGGAAGGGGGTGAGGGGTAAAAGACTACACACTGGGTGCAGTGTATACTGCTCAACTGATGGATGCACCCAAATCTCACAAATCAGTACCAAAGAACTTACTCATGTAGCCACACCACCTGTTCCCAATAACCTATGGAAATAAAAATAAA